TGACCAAAGTGAAAGAAAATTATAAAACAGTGATTTTCTCAATAAAAGCGATATTTCTATGAGAAAAATTACTTATTTTGATTCGTATTATTATAATTTAAACTAACTTAGATTTATATACATATCTAGCAATTTTGTTGAACGTCTAAGACCATTAATACGATCTTTTTCCTAATTTTTTACTATGTTCAGTTCGATTTTTTAGATATTGTTAATTATGGCCCAATCTTGCCAAAAGAAAATCTGCTTCATTCAATAAATAAATATTTTAAATAATAAGTTAATTTAAAATCATTAAAAATATATTATTTGAAGTATTAACATTTCTTCCTATCAGACCAATTAGCATCTAGAGACTGAGTCACTTACAGCCAAATTGAAAAATCATTTACAAGTCAATATAAGTCATTACAAGTTAATCATTTCACATTTTACAGTTGAATAATAGGCACTATCAAGAATTCATCAGTTACAGCATAATTTTCTTACTTGTCTATTGAATAGATCTGTGGGTTTTGTTAGGTTATTGAAAATAAGATTGAAGCATAAGCGGTATGAATTGCATATCGGAATAACTCAACATGTTGATTTTGTCATAAGTGTTCTTTAGTCAAAGTATTAATCAAATTTGTAAAAAAATAAACAAAGATATTATATTCAATGCTAAATTCAGTATTTGACCTGGACATTCAAGGTAATGTCAAGTTCATATTTGAATTACTGTACATGTCAATTTTGTTGTTCTTTTGCCCAAGAATAAATCAAGTCCATAATTAAATAACAAAGCTATTCATAACCGATTGTTTTAAAATTCAAAATTTGACCTTTTGTGTCAAGGTATAGTTGAGGTCAAGGTCAAGTTCAATTAAATTTTCTTCTATTTTAAGACATTGTCCTTACGATAGGTGTGTTCAAGTATGAAGACATTCCATTCATAAATAACAAAATTATTAGTAATTACATGTATAGTAAAATCAAGCAAAATTCAATACCTTGACCTTCAAGGTCAAGGTTATTGATGAGGGAATGTCATAACCAATTTGGTCCCCCCAGTCACTCCCCATGTTGTTGTTAAATACCAGGTACAAGTGTTCAGAATATAATTGTCATCTTTATCTGCTTTAAGTCTCCTTTAATATAATGTTTTAACACAATCATCCTTTTTAAACACCTTGAGTGATTCACTAGATCCCTCTTTTAAGATCATGTTCAGATCAAAAGGATGTGGCCATTACCTATTTATAATTATACTATATGTATATTAACATTAGATACATTTCATTGAATTACTCTACTTTCAATAGACTGACTTATTTACATAATGTAAAAAAACAACTTTTATTTACAGATCAAATACTAGCTAAAATGCATCTAATATCCATTATTATGCCAGACTGCATTGTTTATACGGTGTGTGTGATGATGTGTAGGTAAAATAATCACTGTCATTCTTTCAAAAAGGGCTAAAATTACTTTTTTTTGGCATTATCTTATACATTGATCAATTACAGCTGGTTGTTTAGTAAACAAATGTAAGGCTAATGAACTCTTAAATGAATTGGCAAGATCTAAATGTGCCAGTAAAAACAGTTAAATGGTTTGCAAATTCTTGCTTTGGAAAATCAAAGTGCCGCAGCACTGAATGCGACGGACATGCAACTGGAGAGACATTTAGGCTTTTTTTAGAAAAAAAAACAAACAAAAATAAAACAGAAAATATATAACAGAGAAAATTTGTTCCATATAAGTTCGAGATTTTTAGAGCAATATCTTTTGTGTCCCAATCTGATATAATTCAGACTTTCTACTTTCAAGCATTTAATTACAGAATGAAATTTATGCCTAAAAACTCTGGTCAAACTTGTAAATCAGTGTCCTTATCGATTTATTCCAAGAAATGATATGTAAATAGAAAAAAAAACTGTCAACGAAATATTTCTAAAATAAAACCATTCAAATAAACTTCAAGCATAATATATTATACATGTGAGAATGTTATTTAGAATTGCTTCGTGTTATAACAAGAGGGCATATAGACAATAAAATATAAGTCATTTGTTTTTTTATTTCTCTTGGACATGTCTCATTAAAAATATTTTTGGTTAAAATCATCAGCAATTAATAGTGTATTTTTTTTTTAAAAATGTATTTACAAGGGCCAGCTAGAGCACATCGTTTTTATTTTAATTTAAATGTCACTTAAGCACTACGGTGTTTAGTTGTCTTTTCATTTTCACACTAAATTCCATTTTCAACTTGTTTGCTTCTTACAATTGTATAGAATTTCTAAAAGTATTGCATGTAAACAAAGTAAGTATCCGCTGGTTTATTACATGCACTAATCGCCTGTCCGAAAATCAGCACAGGTGCAGCAGAATCTATTTTTAGAATAGCGAAGGTTAACTCATATCGTGACCTAGAAAAATATGTAAACAAACCACAAGAATCGGAAGTAGAACTGATATTATAACTTCCTTCATGAAAGACTACATGGTGGTAAAGTGTTGAAAAACCCTCTTGTTACATGCATTTTCAAAAATAGATATTTATACTAACCATTGTACTGTATCTAATTTATTAATAACTGCTGAATATTCAGCTAAACCCGCGGTATGAGTCACGAAAATAGTTCTTCTTTTATTAATGCGCGAGTTATTCTAGAGTCACGAAAAACTTTTGATTTGTTAATAATAATGTTTTGTATAATGTAGAAATATTTATTTCCTACTAATAATTTCTTGGAACTCAGAGCTTACACCTTTATTATAGTATAATTTGCTGTCCTACTTTTTCGACAGCGGTAAATCGTTTCGGCAGTAATTTGCATATTGCGCAATAATACTACGGGACTACAACGTTTTTATCAATCATTTACGTTCATATTTTAACTTGGATAACTTAATTTGAAATTGAAAAGGCTAAATATGGAAGATTTTAAGATATCCCGACAAAGTATGGGAGTTTTAAAGGATAAAATTCATGTACTTTTTCTTGGGCTGTTAATCGGTTGAGGACACTGCGCGATTGTAGCAGACGAAATCCCATGTGTAGATGACTTAGCTCTGAACGCGCCTGAGGGCGCGTCCGTCGCAAAAATGAATATAGTCCAGGTTCCGAAGAAGATCACAGTAGACATTAATAAATTATTTCAACCTGTTGTTACCATTAAATATAGAACATTCCTAAACAAGTAATTCAACCAAGTAAGCCATGTACCAACTCTTATGTATAGGTTAGAGTTTATTAGTACCTATTTACAAAATTTAATTGGTCAGGTGTGGCAGATTGTATTGATTTTAAATTGTTTATTTTTGTTATTGTTTTTTTTTGGGGGGGTTTTCTTTTCTCATGTATAGTTGAGGATAATTATAATTTTCTTAAACTGCGAATATTATTTTCGTCATTAAAAAATAGACATGTTGGTAAACAGTCAAAAATTTATTTGTTCAAAATTATTGGTTTTGTTTTATACAATTAGTAATTGATTTCAGTGTAAAAAATTTGGATTTGAATCCATTAGGCTGGTCGGACTACCAGATTGGAATATTCACTAGCCCAAAAGACATTTCACTAGCATGATTCATTTGTTCAAAACAGTTGTTTATATCCAGGCTTCTGAAAATACAGTAGCCTGGTTCAGGGCTTGTTAATGTGAAAAGTTGGTAGCCCAAGGAAAATTTAGTAGTCAGGGGCTATCAGACTACTGCTAATTTCGAACACTGTGATTTTGTTTAAATAATTTTCGTTGTATGTAAATGTCATGAAAAAAGCAAACAAATTTGTTTTCTTTTGAGGTAATATGCATTGATTTATTTTTGTCAATTTATTTGCTATATAAATCTAATATTTCCCTGTACATAAGGTAATCAATCATCCTAGAGTACTTGTAACACCATGATTGATTTATTAATCTGGATTACTGGGTTATTTAGTGACAATATGACAAGTATTTTCAAAACATTAAGAGCTCTTAAGTGTCAATTACTGTCTGTTTAAAGAAATATTTCAGCTGCTACAGACCAAATTCACAATGACTTATTTCAAATTAATATCTATATAATAAGTAAACTCATGTTGTGATTGTATTAGGCTGAACTTTCTTGTCTCATGTGTCAACAAATTTAACATATGATGTTGCTGACTGTTGTCTATGCTCAATGAGGGTATAGGCTTTTTATATTCTAGATCTAAAATGAATTCTTTGCTTTAGGTTAATTAATATTCTTATAGTTGATACTTTTTATCAAACAAATATGTTATAATGCTGTTTTTATTCTGTTTAGCAGGTTTTTTTGTTGTTTTTTTTAAACTTTTGACCCATTAAGTCATAGAAAAAGCATCGAAACACGGCATGTTATCTGATTTGTACGAGGCGTCATAGTCAAACATAAAAACACGTTCCCTGTTGTCACAATATGAAACCCCAGAAAAAAAGTAACCAATGAACGAGGTTCTGAATAGGATATTTCTGTTGCTTTCCCTTTCTCTGCCGTCACAATAAGTAAGCCCCATAAAAAATGACCCAATTAATGGGCATGCTAAGTTTGGGTAACTAATAACCGCACTCCAAATAACGATCTGTGAATGTATGTGTATAAGATTTAACTCTGACACACTTTCAACACATTTGGTCCCCAAACTATGATACAAGTAATAGTTGAACTCTAAAAATTAAATGATCTAAACAGCTCACTCAAAAGGAGTGACAATTAGGAGCGATTTAATTGACTGTTATTTACTGTATTTATAACATCTTACCATTTTAAATGTTTTTATTGTTAAAATTTTACTAATATGTAAATGACAAGTCCGTCATTAGATACATGTATCTATATCATCTTACAAATCTTTAAACAATAATCTATATTATCAAAGTCAAAAATCTACTAGCCTTTATGTGTTACCTTATGAAAAGTATTGTTGCTTAAATAGCTACTTTATTTAGTTTAGGAGTTGTATTAAATGAAATCAATAATGTTATTGTCTATTTTTACTTTCAGTCAGTGGATGATCTGGTGAATGAACTTGAGGCATGAACAAAGGAAAAACTACACAGATTGACAAGTTGGAAAAGATTACAAGGTAAGATAATAATTTACATCATGATTATGAAGTTTTTACATTTTTAAAAACTAGCTTTTATTTAGAAATTAATAGGTACAAGAGGTCAGTACATAAGATGAACCAGGCTTATTCAAATTTCACATGTTTGTTAAATATTTATGTAGGACCAATATATATAATATATTTTCTGTACAAGCCACATATTGGGGGAAGAAGTTTAAACTTGAAAAGGATATTTAATATCTGAGTTATACCCTCAGTGTTATCATATGAAAACTTCAATCATACATCTATCTATAGATTAAAGGACAGTTTTTCTTTCTGAATAGGGAAATCATTCTTTAACAACATGAGTACAATGTAAAAGAAGTACATAATTATGCAATTATAAAAATGAAACATGTTATAAAAATAATGAAATGAGATCCGATAATGAGTAAAATATTCTTTTATTAAAGAAACAATACTAAATGGAAAAAGTATTTTATTCAACCTTATTTTTTAACAATTAGAAAAAAAAAATGAAATTAATAAATAAATCATCTAAAACAAAATGAAATATACTGAATATTCATGGTCCAAAGGTGAATTTAATCCATTTTATTATGACTAAAAAGTGCCAATATTTTGTTATCTGAGCTGTTTACAATATCAAATTATATTCTTATCTACGTTTTTGTGTCATATAATAATTATGACAATACTTCACACTTCGCTAGCTTTGTCAGCGAATTGGTTACCAGTATGCTAACAGAAAGTCATGGGCAGTCATCGCCAGGTACATAAAAAATAGATGTTGATACGGAAAGGATAGAAAATTGTAATCTTGCAATATATATAAAATAGCATTCTTTAAGTATACATTGAACATAAAGGTCACCTCATAGCAGTAAGAAGTAAAAAATTTGGTCCAAACTTTACCTTTAATGTAAGCTACACTGTCTAGTTCATGCGATTTAATTTAAGAAAGATAATATTGTCACTATTTTAATGTGTGTGCAGAAAATTGCCTAAAATTCCACCTACAAGGGAAAGCAACATAAAATTCCCCCTCCTACATGTACTGTTCCCCCAAACAAAGCAGGAGCCCTCACCTTTAAGTGTGACCTTGACCTTGGGGGTAATGACCTGCACATCTTATATAATGGTGATCATTTAAATCTTTTGCTTAATATCTTGTTTTGCAAGTCAATATTAAACAGAGGGGTAAATTCGGTAATCATATATCAAATAATGAAAGTTACATAAGATCAAGGACTGTTATGCAAGTAACAATGATGACAGATAAATAATAAAGGTAGTGTCATCACTTTGCAATTTGTTAAACTAAATAAACAATGCAGATAAATGTATAAGAGGTTTTATCTTTCATACTTAAAAACTAGAACTCTGTGAGTTGGATGTGTGGCCTTGTGAACAGTTTAGCTGTCACTTTAAAGCTGTAACATACCACCAGATGAAATAAAATCAAACTTGAGGAAATTGTACTAAGATGTTAGGAAAAGTAAAAAGTTTTACAACAAAAGTAACCCTTTTCAAGGCGACACAAAAATCAGTAAAGATGTGTATTTACCGAGAGGTTAAATATTTACATAGTTTCAAATTAAAAAAAAAAACATAATTATTCCCTAACCGGAAAATTTCAAAATCATTTCAGTTTGAAACAATTCAGTGAAATATGGGACACCATGGGTTATATTTCTCTCAACTAAACCACAAACATGTTATGGTATTTATAAGATTTAATCAATACAGGTGTTATGAGGGCATGTATTATCCCAACATTAATGTAAATTTACATAGGGAATACCTTCTTTTGACTTGGGTGTTGTTTATAAAACAAACATTGCAGGGGGTGCGGGTGGGGGGGCACAATAAATATGTAATGCAATTTTGAATAATATTCTAAAGGAATGCTGTCAAAATTGTTTCAGGCACAGTTGTTCACATGTACTAATTGTCTGTAGCTATTTCGTGTGATACACAGTAGTGAGTATATTATGGGCAAGTCTGTAACGCAGTGTAATTGTTATCATTTAACAATGATCATCAATCCCTTCACTTTTTTCCCCCCATATTTATAATGATATTACCAGAAATGATTGTTTTACAATTTGCTCAAGCAAAAAAAAAAAAATTATCTCAAAGCCCAGGAAATGTGAGAAGTATTTAAGTCAAACTATATTGGCCTAACACTAAGGATAGGTCAGTGTTTATCAGAAAAGAATTTATAAATATTAAATTGGTAAAGAACAGCACACAGACAAATTAATTTGATAAATGATTACTAATGAACACTAACCAATTATTTTTATGAACAGTTGATTTACAAGATTGATTTTGCTCAGCCACGCGACCAATTAAATTTTGTACATACTGTCCTAAGATGATAATTTGGTCTTAACGGTACATGGGAAAGTCGAAAAACGGGGTTATCTGGATTATTATCCGATATCGTAAAAGTAAACACTTACATATACTATATAGCATTATTCTTACAGAATTGTTTGTGTATTACCGTTATGGCTCTGTCGGTAGGTCGGAGTAATTGTAACTATTAGTGTTTTGTACCCATAGGTTCGAACCCCACTTAGTGTCATTTTATAACCACAATTTTTCTTCTTACTCTGTTTTTTTTATCATTATTCTCTATTTATTTTTCGATTTCCTTTTTGTTTTCTTCTTATAATATATATTTTATAGTATATATTTTTTTATTTCGTTTCTATTTTCTTTTTGTATTTTTTGATCGCAGTGTACTAAAATATTCGATATCATATTCATGTATGTATATGAAAAATCCGGTCAAACTTGTTTTCTGAACAATTAGCTGTTCTCAGGTAAAAAAAATGTGTCGTACCAGTAGTCGAACTTCTGCCTGTACAGGTAAAACACATTACTGACACGGTTCCTCTACCTACTGCGCTAACAAGACATATGATAACTTGTAGTTTTATTTTCATTTTTATAGGTTGTGTCATTGATCTGCCTAACCTATTTTTCGCATTGTTATTGGTCTTTGTTATGTAAACAAAGGCTCAAGTTATCATCCTAGGACAGTACGTACCAATAAATCTTAACCAGCTTAGTGTTTTAAATTTTTTTTGTAAACAGTCTATTTACAAAAGTAAATGTGATATGATTCACTTGAAATAGTGCAATCCTATTTGCAAACAATAATCAAATTCATAGTTTCCGTAGCTGATTTACTAATGTAAATGCACTTATTGGGACAACAAATAATTTCAAACATTATGACTTGCAATGATGTGAAGGTATTTATTTAACAAGAAGTTGACCATCATTCAACCAATTTTGACAGATAAGCTATTATCAGCCACCTACACAAAAATACTGTTATTGAGGCTTATAAAGTGATAAAAGTCACTGCAATTTTTTTTTATAATAAATTTTTAATGAAGGAATATGTATGAAAATATCAGTCTAAAAGCATGTGTATAATCACTTCAGACATTGTGAAAAGTACATTTACTTTACAAATTTATTTAGCAGTTTTATCTAAAATATGTTACTATCACAAAAGAAGATAAGTGTATTGAATGTGTGATTTATATGTATGTATGAAGTTAATGCTTAATGAGGGTCCATTCAACCTTTCATGCATAAAATGCAGCTTTCGCTGTCGAATACGGACCACGGACATGTCACTAGTCATGCCCTTAAAAAGTTAACAGTGCACAGTGGTGATAATTTACCTCCATGCAATTTCCACGGATTATTAGCCAAAGATATGAAATTTGTGCCAAAAGTAGGTCACTGTACTGCAGTCAATGTGTGATTTATTGTGTGTGTATTTACGGTTATTTATACTCGCCACCAGTTGCCCATATGGGCGAGTCCTCCAGAAGAGTATTAGTCATTTTAGATTTTTGGAGGATAGTGCAATTACAGATACAGAAAGATGCCCCAATTCAAAATGCTTCTCCTTTTTCTTTAACATGCCAAGTGTTTAAGCACCCATACACATGACATTGATTTAAAGTCTCATCCGAAAGACTGATAAGTAATTTTAGTTGGCCAGTCCGGGAATCGAACCCACAATGTCGAGATGACAAGTCTCGCGCTCTAACCGATTGAGCTATACGGGCTGGTTGTGTGATTCATATGCCAGTATGATGCTATTTATAGCTGTACGACCTATGGTCACAGCAAATAATTGTTTTCTTACAAAATTTGTTATCTTATTAATATAATGCTTATTTAAGGTTGTCTATTCATTCTCCTTAAATAGGTATTTATATATATACTGAAACAAAAAAGAAACTTTCTCCAAGTTTGAATGTAGATATGTTAGTACAGTTTTTCAATCCTTTTGAAACTCGATTTTTATGTTGAATAAACATATCGGGCTTTTATACGGGGATAGGCTGACCGATTTTGCAAACAAAAAAGTTTTACAAGCTACTACATGTATACAAGTGTGTACATCTAAGTGGTACCCTTGAACAACTGGCACATACTTTGCGAAAGTTTCTTTTTTGGTTCAGTATATTTCAAGTGAACCATAAATTACTTTTGAAATGCTTGATTATAAAGGTCCGTAAACTAGCGAATAAAAGACCGTGGGAGAAATATGATTAATAAAAAATCTTGAATGTGATTAAATGCATTCATAAGTAAAACATACAAGTAACACAATTTCCTTATAGCTTTAGTTTGAATTATGCACTTTAAAGTACATTACAGGATTTCCGGTCGAGCGATTTTTACATTTACAAAACAATTTCCCTGATGGTGTATTTGTACAAATAAATTTCTTAGTTATTCTATTTAAAAGAACATTAAACTAATATAATTATAACATGTATTTTAATTTTAATGTTACTTTATAAAACCAAAATACATTGACACTGCTGGGCCATTATCATATACTGTGAATTCTAAGCACATACAACTTTAACCTGTTAATGGAACTTAAATCTGTTAATGGAATTATGTTAAAACAAATTATTTCTCACCATTGAACATGCAATCTACCAATGTTAATCATTATTAGATCCAATCTTATTAATTTAGTCTCATTTTCATCTGTTGAGTCTATTATTATTCTAGCATCAATTCCATTATAGTCCAAAAATCCATATCAAATCCATATTGTACTGGAAGTAACAAAGTAATGTCAGCGTTGATAGTCAAGATGCTCAGTTGCAAACGCTATATTGAACTCGGCTAGCGTCTTGCTCAAATTAAGACAGACAGTTGGTACTCGTCCAATAAAATTAAGATTTGAATAACTAGTGCCACTGTGACCTTCACCTTTGACCTAATGACCTCAATCAAGTTTAACAAACCTATGCTTATTCCTTCTAAAGTGATTGACCAGACAGAATTTTACAATCGTTATGACCTTGATCTTTCACATCAATATGTGTCATCTTCTTGCCATACACAATGTCCTTACTTAAGTTACTGTAACCACTGCTTTGAATATAGATTGGTCAAGGAAACCAGGACACACATAATACAGACCATGTACAGAAATCACATTATGCTTTCCATTTTATGTGGGGGCAACAAAAACACTATTTATGTTACATAAACATAAGAATATGTACTGTTGATTTAAATATGATTGAGAATGGGAAATCTTAAATTAAAAAGTATGTAGGGGTGGCAGGATAAAAGCCATATACGAAAATGCATTAACTAAAAAAAAAAAAGGTAATTGACCATTACCTGAAACATTACCTGGCATGACAGTGTAGTAGTTATGGTGCTTGTTTAAATTGCATGCGGAAGGTCGTAAGTTCAAATCCCACAAGGGGGTAATACTTTTATTAGGCCTTTTGTATTTTATTATTTATTTTTTTTACTTTCTATTTTATTTATTTTCTATTTACATTTTTTTACACATGTATATAATTATTTTCCATGGTTTTTTTATTCATTAGAATGATATAGCATATACAATCAGTTACAATTCAATTCAACAATTCAAACAATGCCTTCACCTCTGTGACACTCTCAGTCGTGCTAGCGCTGGCGTGGTCGTCTCCAGTGCCAAGAGAGTACCTTAATAGGTGGTTACCATGGAGAAATGGATGGCGAGGTTTTCATCAAGTGGCTTAATCAAAAGGTTATCCCTAATCTTCCAGCACACACTGTTGTGGTAATAGACAACACAACATTATAACACAATCTGTGATGACCAACGAAATGAAGATGACATCCTTCTAACAGTGTATAGAAGCATACACCTCAACAAAACAGCCCAGGACTTGTGTGCCCGCAATAAATAGATGATTTTCTTTGCAAGCCATTATGTCACAAGTAGCACAAAAACTCAAAAAAATTGTATTATTAAAAAAACAAGGACATGCTGGGATTTGAACCTGCACCTGTATAGTTGATAGACCAGCGCGCTACCACTACAGCACAATACCTCACTGCAAGTAGTAAGGCCAATACGTATGACAATACATGACTTTAACCTTTTCTGAAGTGCACTGATCCATGCTGTTTACAAGGGTTCCGAAATAATTAACTTCAACAGTACGTTAAAATTGATAAACTTTGATAAACTGAATATTTACATATTTTGTTATAATGGACTTTTATATAATAATGACAAATGAAAGCATGTTGATATTCTAGACTACTTAATACACATAAAAAATTTAAACATTACCAGATTTTAAAATCATCCAACCACTTTAAGCAGACAAAAAATCTGATATTAACACATTTAAACAAATATTTCTGCCACCTTTTAACAGATTTTACATAGGGACAATCAGCTAAAAAGAAAGTTTTTTTGTTTATTTAACATTTTCTTTATCAAAATCTATAAAACTGAGACTATAATGATATTTAACAGTTAACATCCTATGTTTAATATTTGGCCCTTCCTTTAATTTGAAACTTTAGGAATAGTGCAAATTTGAAAAAAAAAATATATATGCATGCATGAAATGAATTATAATCTCTTGTAATAGCTGCAAGTTGTCATCAAATAATACCTGCCATCCATGATGGTGACAAATGTTAAAGATCTTTGTAATTTTTTTATCTCTACTTGAACTAAAATAGACTACAGTCATACAACAACAACAAAATTAAGATATCTTTATCAATGCCCTAGCATAATAGTGGCAGCTTGTCTGCTTTCAGTAGATCCCAAATTTGGTTGCGGTCCCAACGTTGAAACAGATAAATAATAATAAATCAAGTCCCCCCCACCTAATGTTTATGTACCACATTTTTAATGCAGTTGAAAGAGAAAACTTTAAATACCTATTTAAAACAGAGACGGACTACACTTGAAGGTGGGGGTATCTGTGAAAATATTTGAAAAAGTTGTTGGCCGCTCTAAAGATATGAGAAGAAGAAAAAAACCAACAAAAGTTTGCCAATATAATTTTAACTCACGTCAATATGTGCCAGAAATGCAGGACATAAGCCACAGCTATAACCCACTGGCATCACCTGAATTTCCACTGGAAAACTTTGTTAAAAATATATCTTTTGTAACCTGCTGTGATATTCTTTATGAGATCTTGACAAATTAAGTTATCAACAGGAAACTAGATAAAGTTAAGTTTTAACAATTTCTAAATCAGTGAGGTATTTAAGCCTAGTTGTACAAGTGTAATCTTTGTTTACAACTGATAAAGGAAGAATTTAATAAGCATGAATGGGCATTAAAGGCTGGTGTCATTTAACACATCATGCAGACGGTACTCTTTTGTGTTTTATATTGATACATACATAAATTGTTCCAAAAGGCCTACTTTTACTTATGTGCAAACATGTTTACATGTGAATTTGAGCATTAGATGAGTTTTCTTATTTATTTCATACAAGCATTTTGGAAGTATACTTTTTTTAAAATTTATACAATAATTTTTATATCAGATATATAGCTTTATACACTTTAAAACTACATTAACTTTACTGACCACTGCAAATACATATAGTTAATACTATGCATTAACATGATCTCATTTGTTATGAATTGCTTGGTCCATTCCTTAACTAAATTAATAATCCCTATTAATAAGAATCATGGTGAATTTAGCCAAACTGAATTAAATACAATTTTTTTTTGAAAAACTTTTAATTGCATTTCCTTCTATTTCTAACAATTAAATGGTGTAAATTGAAAGAAAAATATCTAATAATATTCTGGGCAATGGCTGATAATTTTTAAGATTTCTTGATTGATACCTGGGTTTTTCACATTCTGTTTGAATGGCCCTGTTCATTTACATAGACTTATAAAATACTATACACTTCAATAAAAGTTAAAGTGATTTGTCTGTACTTTCATTATCAAAAATAGCACTCTCTTGACAAAATTTGGTTTTAACCAATTATCCACGGAAATATATTGTTGAGGAAGCTTTTTAAAAGCTAATGATTATTTCATCGGTTCATTTTCAATTCTTCAACAAAACAGTAAAAATAATATTCTTTTTTACCTTACCATTTGACAGGATCTAGATATAAATATATTAGTTTGTGATGCTGTGTTTAGTTTTGATGAACAAGAATTTGTTTTCAATAATTCATCACATGGTGTCAAAGTTCCAGTTTAATATTGCAAAACTCCTTCATATGGGTCTTAATACAGAAATTATGACACTGGTCATTTAAATCATTGCACCTCACTTTCATTTTATCAAAATATGGACTGAATAAACTGTCTCTAATAATCCTGTCCAATTCTAATCATACAATCAGAATTTAACCATAACATAATTGTTAAAGTAGCATTAAATAAATATGTAAAAATATTTTGCCATCGGCCTTAAAACCAAGCATTCTACAGTTTCATTAATCTTTTTAATAGTTTTGTAAATCTCATCAAATATTGTTCATTAATTACAATTTTTAAAGGAAAACCCCACAGTAACACTTAAGTTCGTTTAGAATTTTAACATGCAAATGAAGACTATAATCAGCTTGTGTATGCGCTATGTCACATTGTTAAAGTTGCTATACGGACACAGCAAATATGAGCTTTTCTTGTGCAAACACATTTTTTAGCTTCACGGTGCATTAGGCCTGGCGTTCAGAAAAAAGTAATCATCTCATCAAAAAGATTAAATTTGTATGAAAACATCGTTACAATGCGGAAATATACTGTTAAATTAGGACAGCTACTTAATGTCATGTTTGTTAATTTAATATTGATGTACGGATGATCTTAAGGTGGAATTTCACATGCAAACAGAAATTGTACTTCTGATTTCGCCACAATGAGGTTGCAGATTTTATGCTTATAAAACTCATTTTGGTTGTCTAGACACCAAAATAAGATCTGGAGTCGATGTGAAACCCAAATTTTTAATGAAATGTCGCTATTTCTGTTTTTATGAAATTTATTAAATGTAACTTTAACAAAAGAGCATGGTTTAATCTATTGTTATTCAAAAGAAAGGTCAGATTATGTATCTGTCAATCAGATTGATAAAAAGACATATATTACCTAACAAGTTGATTAAGATAGCCAGTTTAAAATCCGTACTTATATACTTTAATTTACAGATAAACAAAATGGAGTGGAGAGGATCAGGTATTGGGGACACACCTGAGAGAGGTAATAAAGATATGCTACACAGTCTAGGAAGTATACATCGTTGGATTGTTATGTGACATGTTTATCAATGGACCTTTCCAGTGTTTACAGTTTTATGTAAATTGGCTAGCTTGTTATACTGTTTGTGAGCAGTTGACCTAGCAATGAATGGAAAAGGTGTGGCTAAATGTTCCTCTACGAAAAACCAGAAAGGTCCATCGTGGGTATCCAACAATGGGAAGTATATTAGACTTAATAGTAAATCGTAACTTTTACTTAGCTTCTTAATTAAACACAGTACAATCAGCATTTTGAATTAAAGCCATGGCTAATTATTTGTAAATAGCTCAATAAAGTAAAGAAAAATAACTTTCTTAAGACAAGATATGAATGTAAGTAATATTTATAAACACATTTATTGTTTATGATTTTTTTTTTATTATGCATGTACTTACCCTGAATATTTATGTTACACATGACCATTTAGAAATAAAGGGCTTTAGACAGGAAATATTTAATATCTTGATGTCATTATATAACTAGAAGTACACTGTTTATGCCCCTAGTGTCAGGATTATTTCTATTGCCATCTTCCTGTTTGCACTCTCAAGTATTCTCATTCAATAATTGCTCCAAGTATACGATCTAAAATCCCGGTTAATTTTAAGCAATCTTCCATAACAAATACTTTTTTTTGTTTGTTTGTTTCATTTTACGCCTTTTCCTAACAGTATGTCAGTCATATAGGCGGGTAGTTTCCTAACCATCGTTCCTGGAGAGTTACACTAGTACTAGACTACCTTCCTCCGCGTTAAACTACCAAAGTATCTCCCGGGGATCGAACCCATACCAGAGAGGTAACTGGATTAGAAGTCATCGACTCTAACCCCCTCGACCACGTTTTTTTTTTTTTTTTTTTTTTTACAGAGTCATTTGGTAAGAACAATTTCTTCTTCCACTAATAAGAATTTATTCATTCCTCTTGTAAGATTTTCTTGTTCCTCTGGTTTTATATCAGGTACACTTTATACTGGATCCAATAATCAGGAAAGCAGCAAATTATATTTAAGAAAAAATATTGGTCTCAAAGTTGTTTATTGGCTATTTAACTCTGGTTTGGAGTTTTGATGTGTAGGAATTGACCACAAAGGCTATTATATATTGCATCAAAAGGACAAACCTGAGTGTTAAATAGCCAACAAACACTGTATAATTTCTTGTTATAAGCAAACTTCTAGTCTCCTTTCACCAGCTTAAGCTATGGAAATCAGTCTTCCTATTTGTTTTTTTTTCCTATTTTTTCTTTCTGTGGTGCAGAACTCTGGTTTCATTCATGTCTTTTGTAAGCAAATGCACAGGATATGTTGCTAAACTGTTCTTTTCAGTACATTAGTTGAAAAAGCGTAATAGGTGTCATCCCGAAATACTAACATGAAGACCTGATAACTGTTCGCTGCGCCACAAATTCTTCGGACATCATCATTTTAACTTACCTGTATTCTATGAGATATTTTCATTTTACCGTATCTTGTTCATTCCTTTATTTAACTGAAATTTTCTGAGATGAGGTAAGCAGCAGAGGAAGTCAACATGATATTGTGCAGACACATCATCCGATATTTCAAATTTATGTAACTTATTTAAGCCTATTCACCACAAAATGCAAATTATTTGATTGCCAGGAGCTCAAACACTGAAATTTTTTAAGTAACTAGAGTAGATATTTTGTAAATGATTTGTTGTTATGTAAAGATATAAAATTATAGGTTATATGTGTGAATTATAATCTACAATGTATTGGCATTAAAAATGTGCTATTCAATAATATTTGTACTTTTTGAACAACCCTTGTTAGTGCAAAACATTTTAATTAGGTGTGTACCAATATTTTGTATGTTTTCCATATGCACTCAAAATGAACATAGAAAAAGTAGTGATGTAGCATCATATCTGTCAATTTCATTCTTTATTTGTATACTATAAAAGAACATTTTGTATTGTTGCTGCAAACAAAAAGGTTAATATTTTAAGATGGTATTATTAGGAACGAAATGTCAATGGTTTTCACATCTTTGAATTCATACAGTTTTCATACACCTTTAATTTCAACAATGAAAAAGCTGCACAACAGATTATGAAATATAATGAAACTTGACAAGATGGATCAGTCTGGTTTATTACCATCGGAATGCATCTTCAGTAGTAATTGATCATATGGAGATCACCTTTCTTGCATGTGTCAATAATTTAGTAGAACAAAATTTAATACTAAGAATTATTTGTGTTTTTTCTTCTTCTTTTTTCAAAAGTTCAAATGTTTGTTATATTAATACAGGTATTGAAAAATAATGAAAAAACACATACATTTCACACTTTAAATGTAAATAAGAGCTGTTGAGTGTTACCAAAATTTTTCATTTAAATATATAAATGTTTGAATGAAATATAAAACCTTACCCTCCTGTTTATAATTTGTGTTACGGGTAATAAAAATTCAGAAAGCTAACTGATCTGTATTCTTACTTTATTTCTTCCTTTGTACACCATGCTAGTTGCACCCTGGCCCAACGGTTTTGTTATGTCCCAAAGGTAACTAAGAGATCCTCTCAAACTCATTTCAGTTTAATAGTTCAAATCAGAGAACACAGAATTCTTGAATTTCATTTCTTTTGCTGTAACCTGAAAGACATAAATTGGTAATCTGAAATAATGGAACTTTTAATCAACAAAACTTGAAATGGGAGCAATATAACACATTTGATGTGAATGAGTAATGAGATTAAAATCAGGAAGAAATACATCATGTTAACCATATTCTTCAAACAAAAAGTGTTTTACAGCTTACACAGTCACACACTAAATGCTTACATTACTTTGTTTTGTACATCACACTCCAGACCATTCATACCTATTTGAGTCTATAAACAACATAATACATGTATAAGCTTTCAACATATGCATGGATTTTCTTGAAGCATTATCATTACTTTGCATGTGTCATAGTTATCAATTTTCATACCATAGCCATTTAAAGTCTATTTGGTTTCAAATTATTAAATGAAACCAACATTTCATAGCTTTAAGCAAAACAAAATTCCATACAAGAAAAGCATTGATGCAAAGCATTAAAGGGCGTCCAAGCAAACAATGCAGCAAGTGAAGATGAACTAGTAGACATCTGATGACCAGATATTCTTATAAACTTTTCAATGGTTATTTTGTTTTTACCAGAATTGTATAATATTTATGAGTGGGCGGCCGAAAGACATTGTTCATCATGAACTTTGGTAGGCATGCTAGAGATTAGAAAATTTATTCTTTTTCCACAGGAACTTGAAATTCTATCAATATTAACGATAATATCCAAAATATACAGGTCTATAATATCCAAAATATACCCCAATGTGGTATAAGTTTATTAATACTATATAGGGGTATTTTGGATATTATCATTAATATTGGTTATTTGATAGAATTTCAAGTGGAAAAGACAATTTCAAAATGATAATACTATAAAAATGGCCTACTTAATATTTTTCCATAGATTTATAAAGGGTGCAATTAATTGTTTGAATATGTTTGCATTTCATTTCCTGCAAAATTCTCCAGTTCGTTATTTATTACCATAGCATGACACAAATGACCGTTTCGTTAAACTAAAACTACTTCTATGAATAGATTTTCGGACTTTCACAATGTTAAGGTCATCATGCTATTTAAAGGTACAGCAATACATAATAACCCACTATCTACTTGTTTGTTTCATTTTAAGCCTTTTCCCAACAGTATTTCAGTCATATAGGCGGGTAGTTTCCTAACCATCGTTTCTGGAGAGTTACACCAGTACTAGACTACCTTCCTCGGTGCTAAACTACCAAAGCATCTCCCGGGAATCGACCACGCCAGAGAGGTAACTGGATTAGACGTCATCGACTCTAACCCATCGACCACGGAGGCAGTTCCCACTATGTACTACAAAATCATTGATAAAAAAACCGAAGAGCGCGATTAATTGCCGGATAAGATAATTTCATTTGAATACATTTGCCTTGCGAAATTCTCCAGTTTGCTATTCATTGTACATATCGCTACATTTCATTTATGATAATCAAACACCCTCATACCAATCAGAATGATCGGCTATTATGACCAACGAAAAGGCCCGAGAATTTGCAATTGCCTTTTCCCAATGAATTTAGGAAAAGTTTGCCTGACATGGCTCACTGCAAAACAGTTTTATTTTCTACCAACAGTTTTGCACAATAACTCTTATCTATAATGGCTCATTGCCAAACAGAAGTATCTTCTATTTTATTCAATTTGACTTACACTAGTTTTTGCACAATTACTTTATCTTAAAACAGTAGTATCTTCTACTTTATTCAACAGGTTTGAATTACTAGTTTGTCTATGATGGCTTAATGCAAAACAAATGTATCATTCTTCTATTTTTATTCAAAATAGGATACAACAGTTTTGCACATTACTATGTCTACTGCTTTATTATCCCCCGCCGAAAATTTTCGGCGGAGGATATAGAAATAGTCTCCGTCCGTCCATCCGACCTTCCGTCCGACATTTTTGTCCGGAGCATATCTCTAAAAGTATTTGAGTTATCAACTTGAAACTTCATAGGTGGATAGACCTCATTGAGGAGGAGTGCAGTGCACAAGAATGATAACTCTACCTTGCATGATTTTTGAGTTATTGCCCTTTGTTATTTTTCAAAATTGATTTTTGTCCAGAGCATAACTCCAAAAGCCTATGAGATATTAACATGAAACTTCATAGGTGCATAGATCTCACTCAGGAGGTGTGCAGTGCACAAGAATGATAACTCTACCTTTTATAATTTTTGAGTTATTGCCCTTTGTTATTTTTCATACTTAATTTTTCAATTCAATTTTTTTCTCAAAAAGTATTTGAGGTATCAACTTGAAACTTCATAGGTGGATAGATTTTACTGAGGAGGGATGCAGCACACAAGAATGATAACCTACCCTGCATTATTTTTCAGTTATTGCCCTTTGTTATTTTCAGCCATCAGTATTCACATAGGTTTCAAATCTGTAATCACTATAGCCATCAGTTTTCATTACCAAAAGACCTCTTAAAATGGAATTATTCTGCTCTACTACATATACATTCTTCCAATGAGCAAACACATTCGGCGGGGGATGGCCATGATGACATGGCTCTTGTTCTATTTGAGTTACAACTTTTTTGCATAAATAGTTTATAAATAACATACAACAGTTTTACAGTTTCGATACGCATGGAATTGGGAATTTCAATGACAATGTTCCGTTAAAAGTTGGGGGAAAATGCATGACTGACATTTTGCAGTGATTAAATGAATGCAAAAAATCATTGTCCATGATGGCATCTTCAAACATTCAAGCACGAAGATTTTAGAATTTGTTATTCAATATTTTTATTATGTTACTTTAAATTGGGAATTTTTTCTGTGGATTGGGAAAATAATGCATGATTTGTATACTATTTTCAACTAGGAATATGTCCGAATATCGGCTATAAAATATGACAAAAACAATCCCTGTTTTACATAAACACTTTTGTCTATGATCAATTTTATAGTTCATACAGTTGACTCAGCTTGCTTTACTTGAAGGCCCATCAAATTTACTTCTTTTTGATAATATTTCAACTCTTGTTTGCATGTCAAAAAGAATTTTTGGTCCAGTCAATTAACTTCACACAGCCAAGTGATCAAAGGTCGTGGAGATCAAGGTGTGAGACATTGTCATTCTGGTTCACACATGTTATGATTGTTTATATGTATCAATATATGTGTCCTTTATCTGATTTATTCTCCTGTTTATAACATTTGCATACATTAATGTGCATTACTGCTTACTTCTAGTCACTTCAAATACTGTTTTATCTGGTGAGTAAAATGCCCAGCCCTTAGCCATTAGAGATACTAACAGTCAACTGTATTTGACAAGTTTGGCATGTTTTCAAAAATTTTAATTTTGAAATCTTGCCAAGTTAGTATCCTAATATATTTACTGTAAGTAACTCCTTAAAATCTTGCTATATTTTAATTTTATAAATTTTAAATGTCCTTAATAAGAAAGGGTTAAATGGATGGATTTAAATCATAAAAGCAGAGAAAGCTGAATGAAAAAATGTTTTCTAATTACAAACCCTACTGGGATCCTACATCAGTTTACCGGACAAAAGCTATTCCTGCCGAATAGTGCTTTATTTTTTGCTTCGATTAAAAAATCAAACAGTCTGAACCGTACACACACTTTCTTTTTCAAAGTAAATAACGGCAAAACCACTCTCACGTAAATATTGTTGATTCAGTTCTTTATCTACTAACATGCCCTTTTGTTTACTAGTTATTTCATGACCTGGTCATGCGGGGAATAATCTGTTCTGCGCAGGCCCGAATATGGAGGCCCTTAATTGGTGATTTTAAGATAGGTTTTACTTTAAATTTTTCTCAACAAGAGACAATCGTAACATATTTTAATGATAAAAAATAATTTCAAATTTAGTCCAAACATTATCTCGTTGTTGTCTTTTACATAGAAATGCAAATTAAAAAACATATAAGGAAACGGGTTACACCCATGGGAGAAAACTCTACATGCAATGAAAATAAAATAGATTTTATTGCTTTTGTAACATGCAACATGATGACCAAAATGAAACTGTATGACAAAGAACAGAATTTCATTTGAATATAAAAAAGTTTCATATGTTTAAGGATCATAAAGCATTAATACATCAATTGAGTTAATAGTGTAAATTTCAATTACACCCTCTTCGCAATAGGCATGGCTGCCGTGTCTCTTTCTAGTGACATAGTGTGTTTTTCAAATATCTTAACTTTACCATTCAATAGTCGTAGTTTCCTTGCTGATTATTTAAAGATTAATTTCTATTCACGACTTCAAAATTTTTTGAAACACAATGTCGGGTAAATTGAGTTGTCTACACAAGTTTTTTCCTCTTATAATGCCCTACTTTAAAGACACATATCTACGGTCAAATGTTTAATTTTATGTTTGATAAAGGAATGTTTACGTGTCTTAAGAACCTGAAATTATTTGGGTAAAATTCCATTCCTTTTTATTATTTCAAATAAAAGTTACAGATCAAAAACATCATATTTTGTCCGGTAATATGTAGGATCCCAGTACAGTCACTTAAACTATAACAATGTGAGAAAGGCGGGGTGGGGGGGTGGGGGGGGGGCATTCTGAAATTAGATGTTTTTTTCATGATAAATGATATACACAAATGTAGCTATGATGCAGGTAGGATGTTGATAATTATGTTTCCCAAAATTTTTGCCTTCACCGTCTGTCTGTCCTTCTCTGTGCCAGATTGTAAAATAGAGAAATCTTGTCCGGCCTTCACAGGTCAAACTGCTGGTAGGATTTCAACCAAACTTTACAGTCCTGAGTGATCAGTACCATCCTTAGTTGTGCACAATACCGGCACATTCGGCTTCGATGCACAAAAAGGCTGGCCTTCAGAGCTTTAAATAGAAAAATCTTGTCTAGCTTCAAAGATCAAGCTACTGGTGGAATTTCAATGAAACTTCACATGAGTGACCATCCATAGTTTTTGGAGACGTATGTTTTTGTGACAAAAACCCTTCTAGTTTTTCCATCCATCTGTGCATTTGCTACACTTAA